GAGAGCAACCATAGCCGGAGGAGAGCAGCCACAGCCTGCAACCACACTGGGCCTCAGTTTGGATCCAGTCCCTCTCCTCAGTGGTAAATAGAGCCTGTAATAGCTGCTGGATGTCATCCCAAGTGGGCTGGTGGGTGAAAAGAACAGATTCTAACAGATCAGTAAGGCCCTGTGGTTTCTCAGAGAATTTGGCCATTTGCAATTTCCAATTGTAGAGGTCACTGGTGGCAAATGGCCAATATTGCATCTGTTGGTCTCCTGCCTCATTAAGGGGTCCCACTGCCCTTAAGGGAAGGACGGTGGAGTCTGCCACTCCTCACGGCTGTCCTCTCTGGACCCTTCTCCGAGTTTGGGGAGGGCTCTCAGCCCCAGGGGCCTGGGCCACCTCAGCCTCTCCTGGGGGCTCTGAACGCCCCAGTTGTGCCAGCGGTGTGGGCAAGTATGGGGGAAGCTCAAGCAGAAGTTCTTCCTCCGTACCACTCTGGAGGACAGGATAAAGTGGGGCAGATGGTTTAGTTTCACTTTTCTGCCACCCGCCATCACACAGGGTGAGGATGGTTGTCTTTGAACCCTGCAGTGGCAAAAATGGTTTGAGCCATTTAGGGGGGGCTCTTCAGCCAGGATCTGCCAGGTTGCAATGTAAGAAACCTGGTTGGGGGGTCCTGGTCACCAGAAAATGATGTTTTTAGCCCTGTAAATAGTGGGGAGGTCAAACATTCCCTCCTCTGGCCATCCAACATTGAAGGTTGGCCATTCATTCCTGCAAAAGATAAAAGAGTTTGCCTTTCTTAACTTCCAACCCTGTCCTCTAGCCTTCTTTTTGAAGTCAGAAAAATGGTCCTGGAAAAGACTTAAGGGTGTTACTTGACTTTGTCCCACGTCTATAACTAAGTAAGTCACAAATAACACAGACAATACAAAGACACACAATGACAAGACAATACTTCCTGGTGCCTTAAGCAAGAACTGAAAGTGGGACATTGGCCTCTCGCCACTCCACCGACACAACCCGCCTCGCCCCTTCAAAATTACGAGCAGAATCCAATCCCTATCAGGTGGGTCCAGGACGTCTCCCAAGTCCCACGGCCTGGGGTCTTCCAGTGCGTCTGTATAGACCGCCAACAGGCTAACAAGGTAACAGGGACCCAAATTCAAGAGCATGCAACACAAACAAGGAGACAAAGACACTTACTGGCCAGACCAGGCTCAATGCTCCAGGGGTCCTGTAGGGCCTTGGGGATCCTGGACGAGCCCCCAAATGTTATGCCCAGATCTCACAACTCCCAATGACCACCAAGGAGTGCAGAGTGTATACAACAGCAAAGAGCCTTTATTCAGGCTTAAGCTCGGGCCCTCAGATTTCACCGACGCAGCGGATCTGTACTGAGAGCCCCGAACCAGGGTGGGGAAAGCTTTTTATAGGGAGTTTTGCTGAAGCCCATGTGCGCCAGATGCACTTCAAAATGATTGGATGGTCCTATGTTCTAAGTACAGGGAGGATTCTTATTGGTAGGGGCTGTCTTTAGGGAATTGGAATGTGCTGTTATCTGTAGGGCCAAAAGTTTCTGTTTCTACCTTATAAGGCTTTTACATGCCTGGGCTTGCTTAATCTATGGTTTTCTGGGGCGGGGGGGGGGGGGGGGTAGCAACTGGAGATTTACAACATGCCTGGGCTTGTCCGGGCTTGCCTGAAACAGCCAAAATGGAGTCAGTGTATTCTGACTCTTGCATTTTGACTCTTCAAGCGGTTAAGAGCACTGATTGCTCTTGCAGCGGACCCAGGTTTGATTCCCAGCACTCACATGGTGGCTACAAACCGTCCTTAACTCCAGTTCCAGGGGAATCCAAAGCCCTCTTCTGACCTCCGCAGCACTGCACGACGTTGCGCCCAGATCTCACAACCCCAAATGACCACCAAGGAGCCCGGAGTGTATGCAACAGCAAAGAGCCTTTATCTGGCTTAAGCTCGGGCCCTCAGATTTCACCAACGCAGCGGCTTCCTACTGAAAGCCCCGATCTAGGGTGGGGTAGGCTTTTATAGGGAAGTTTCACAGAAGCCCACGTGTTGCAGGTTTCCTCGTGGGTCCAGCCCACGAGGGACTGCAGGGAGTAAGGGTTCTGGCCGAGGTGGGGGTAAACGGTGCAGAATCAACACACAGACTCCGGGAGTCGGGTAGAAGCAGGCACTAGGCAAGGTGCTGCAGACTCGTTTATTGCTGGGAAGTGCAAGCCTTATATATCTCTCCCCCTGCCCCCAGTGTCCCATAAGTTGGTGTGTCACTTCCTTCCGGGCAGATTGTAGGTTGGCTATTTGGCAGAAGCGCAGGCTGCGCTCTCAAAGCAGAAGCTGTGTTCTCTTAGTGAAGCCTGTGCTTAAGCCTGGCACTTCCTCTCCTACACCCATGCGCGCTAAGCATCATTTAAAATGATTGGATGCTCCTACGCCCTGAGTAAGGGGAGGATTCTTATTGGTAGGGGCTGTCTTTAGGGCATTGGAATGCGCTGTTATCTGTGGGGCCAGAAGTTTCTGTTTTTACCTTATATGCCCGGGCTTGCTTGATCTATAGCTTTCCAGGATGGGGGTGGTAACTGAAGATTACAACGTGCCTGGGCATGCCCGGGCTTACCTGAAACAGTCAAAATGGAGTTAGTGCCACCTTAAGCCAAGCAAATTACAGAAGCAGAAAGAAGCGGTTTGATAAGTCAGGGTCCCACACACAACACGGGTGCACTAACATACATGCAGGCAATACACTCATACACATAAAATAAAAATAACAAAATATTCAAAGATTAAAAAATAATTTTTTTTAATTTTTATAAAAATAATTAATAATATAATTTAAAAAAAAAATTTAAAGACAAAAC